AAAGTGTGTAAATGGTAGCAAAGAAGAATGTCTGAATTCAGAAGAAGAATTGTCTCCCAAATTTGCTTAAGGGAAACAAACAAACAATGACCAGAAACAAGATTAAGAAAAATTGCTCAAAATCTAATGATAAATGAATCATTAATTTATACTATTAATGAAATGAAGGAAATAACCATAACTTTACATTAAAAATAATAAAAAAAATCACAGGGAGTACCCATTATTGTTGATGAAGAACAGAAGATGCTGCTTGAAGCTCGGATTTGGAAGTCTGAATTGACTTCTGATCAGAATGATATGAGGATAAGTTGATGAAATCTTTCATAAATCATAACAGAAAACGTTGCGGTCTCAATCCCCGTACGAGTAGGCTAAGGGCCTGTCTCCTTATTCACATCATCATCATCTTCATCTCTGTATTCTCCGTCTGCATTTTTCTCGATTACAACATTCCCCTTCTTTGCTACCTCTATCTTTTCTCTGGTGACGGCTAACGGTTGGTTGAGCTATGAGTTGCAGAGAAGTAGAGTCGTCGAGTAAGAAACGAATTCGGATATGGAATGAGTTGAGATTAATTTCGGAGTGGAAATCTCCAAATTGAAGAGAATAGACGGAAAAGATTGGTTGTCGCCATTGATTTGTTACCTTCAGCTCTGTCGGCTTTTGGAGGCATCGAATCGCAGGAAAAATGCGCGGGAAAAAGTGCATGTCAATCTAACTAATGGGTTTTTTTAATAGAAGATTAATAGAAGTTCATGTCATCACTTGTGTAGCATTGCATAAGCTGTCAATAAATAGCATGAGGCCTGATTAATTTTATTTTTGTTATTTTGATTAAGTTTTTAAAATTATATTGGATTATAATTTAATTATTTGTTGTTAATTAGGTTAGGGAAGTCAACAGACGAGAATTTTCCTTCTATTTTCAAGTTATGCATTGCTTATGCTGCAGCTTACACAATGCCATGTAAGCAATGACATGAACTACTGTCAATCTAACTAATGGGTTTTTTTAAGTAGATGAATTGATATAATTTTGGAAGCTTAATAGACAATTTTAGAAAAAAAATAAAAATTTTAGATTAAAATTAAAAAATATCAATAATTAATAGACGATTTATCAAATTAAATTGTTTTCCTACAGAAAAAATAAGTTAGGGCATGTTTGGCTTGCATATTCTCCTAAAGAAGAATCTCAGAAAGTTGCGGAAAATAATCGGCTAGCTTTGTTCAGGATTGTGAAAATTCTAGGCAACGCAATACAGCCGGTTACAAAGCAAAGCAATTGGAAATTTGTCATGCTCAAACTCAAGAGAGGACAAAAGCCGCAAACCGATACAAACGCAAAAGGCTATCTAAAATGTAAATCTTTACAATTTTTTTATGGCTTAATTTAATAAATAGCTTAGTAATTGTTGTTTTTTGTTTTTTTGTTTCGTCTATTATCTTTAAATATTTTTATATTTATTTACTATCTTTCACTTTTATTTTAATTTAGTTAGTTTATTAATTTTTTATCAACAATTTCACTCTATTTGGTCAAATTGACCTTCAACTATATTTTTTTTTGTGAATTTTTAATTTTGAAATAAAATTAATTTTGTAAGGATAATAAACTCCATTTCACTGCTGAAGAAACTGTAACTTTTATTACTTATTGCTTCAGTTTTTTCTTTTAACAATTTTTATTTATAGTAGAAATCATGATTATTTACATATTTTAATAGCTGGCATAATCTATTTGTAAACTGCTTTGTTGATTGGACTATTTTGATTTTGATTTAACTTTTCAATTCTTTATCTGTTAAAACAAATATAATTTTTATACAATAGACTATTTTAAAATATTTTACAAAGTTTATAGACTGTTTAGAAAGAAAATTAACTTTCTAGACGAAATTAAAATTAGGTTAATAGTTAATAGACCAATTATTGAATTAAGCCACTTTTTTTTATAGATTTATCCACTTAAATCATACCCTTAATAATTCAATGTTAGACTTAGAGCCTCAAATAATCTCTAAATAATATACTCCAACTTAATTAACCAATAACATAAAGTGAATAACTGTAATATTCCACAAAGTTAAATAATCTCGGTGCAATCCCGTGGATTATTCTATATTACCTAAAATGAGATGAAATTTTTTAAAAATGAGTTAAAAAAAACTCAGTAGACAATATACTTGATAAATTGGAATTTTATAAATATTAATATGAAATTTTTATCTTGCTATTATTGATATTTGAATGAATTTTATAAGAATTTACTTGATTTCACATAATTTGGAAGAAATCATAACTTTTAATATCAAATTGCATAGATAAAAAAATGAGGATTAAAGTGCAGAGAAATCAGAAGTTAGGGACCAGTACTGTCCTTTTTGCCATTAAGCGAAATTGCATTATGGCCCAAAAGTCCGACACGGACTTCACTCATCGATTTACTGAAGGTGTCGGCACTAGGGAGTTCAGAATGAAGACGCATTTGGTTGCGCTTCTGAGACTTTTGGCGCCGTTCTACTGGGATTCGGGAACTCTTCGAGTGTTTTTGGGACTCCTTTGGAGCACTTTTGGGAAGTGGCAAGCTGGGACGGAACCAACGGTGCAAGGGATCGTTCACGTATAGATCTACTGAGTTAATAGGTAAAAGTAAATTCAATATAATTTAAAAAATAAATAAAGATAGAGAATTTTATTGTCATATAAATGATGAATATTTTAAAAATATGATACTTTAAAATTTATATTGATTAATTATAGTATAGTCAGATATCTTAATATTTTTTTATATATTGTGAGTTTTATTTTAAATTATTATTTTTCAATTAGTTTTACTTTATAATTATAAATATATAATACGTTGAACGATTCTGCCTACCTATGCCATATCCTGATAAATAATTAATTAATATTCTAGTACAATTAGTATCTCATATTTTTGTGAACAATTAATATTTATGTAATATAAAAAACTAGTAAAACAATTATTTTAAAGGTACAGAGTACTCATCAATTCTTTTGTAGAAATTCATTATGCATGCCCTATGTTAATTTAGTCATCAATTCTTTTATACAGTAGGAAGGCCTTAATGTCAACAAACTTGTCTTTTATTTAAGCGTTTATAATTTATAATTTGATATAATTTAAATTATAAAATAATTTTTTAGTTATTTTCCTTTTCAAATAAATGATAAATAATTATGTGCAATGAGACATGATTCATTTATAAATAAATTTTATA